TTATTCGAGTATGTGAAATGTAAAATGCTCCAGAGGCGACGGATAAAATCCAAAAAGTAGCTGTTATGATACATGTGCGCTTCAAAGTAACTATTTGTCTATATCTTATTCCCAACAACAAAGCGAAAAGTCTGTCCACGCTAATGGCCGTCAACGTCAACAAAGACACTCCACATAGTGCAAAGCTTGCTATGAAGACTGCGTCCCTTGCATATCGACAAAGACTCCAGTGTTCGTAAATTAAGGACATCCAGTAAGTAGCAGTGAGAGGCTGGTTAACAAGACCAACCAACAGATCAGTTGTTGCCAGACAACGATACAAGAGCTTGGACGGGGGATGAAGGGAAGTTTCCTTGTTAAGAGCAACGAGGATTAGAAAATTTCCAAGAAATGCTGTGATGGAGAGGAAAATGTTAACTGCTGAGGAAGAAATCGATTGTTGTTGTAGCCCAACTAGCAAGGAGGGGGAACATAGCAATACTTCATATGTGTCCGTCTGTGTTCCACCCGCTGTTGAATTTGTCGTCGCAATCATGGTGCAGCTCTTAAAACGGTTTTTCTCCTTTCACTAAAGTTTTTTGGAACTGCTGACAACACGGAATAATTCTTCTTCACAACAAACACCTGGCTAAGAAACATTTAAATCTTATAATTCTTTATGTCATTAACACTAAAAGCTTTCTTAATGTATCCTACTTGTTTTTAATTGGTTGAACGAACTGTCAGTCGAGAAAATAACATAACAATACATATACACCTTTCTTGAAATTTGGAGGGTGTGCAGTACGTAGTTATAAAAAGCGGGCTCTGACACATTTCGTGTCCAATATAAAAAACAACCTTGGTTTTAGGGCAACTCAAGAATTTTACCTTGATTTCAAGTCAACATTGATTTCAATAAAACAGTTGTGGCAAATTTTCAAAACAACCTTGATTTCAAGGCAACTTGAATTTTTCACACGCGAGTTCAAAAGAGAGCGTGAAAATTATTTTCTTTAACGATTCTCTTGTCACGCCATCGAGGTGTTACAGGTACCTGTTTTTTCATGAGAAGTTTCTTTGATACATGTAAATTTATTTCAAATTCATTCTCTTGGTTTAACCATTTTATTTCGATCAAAAATTAGTCTTATACATTTTGACATAGGAAGCATTTAAACCAATGTGTGAAACAACAATATCATTTTTTTATAAGTTAGAATAAAATTACCTACGCTTTAGCATAAGCTAAATTCACCTGCCTTCTTTGTCTCACGTGTGTGCGGTTTAGCAAGCTAAATTTACCTGCCCTCTTTGTCTCACGCGTGAGACTTTTACATTAAAAAATAATAATAAATAAATATTCTTCATCAATTTTCAAGATCTGTTTTTCCAAGAAACGAGGTTGTTCTCGCAAACGGAACTAACAATTTTTACCCAGATATTTTTGTTAATTCACAATTCATAAGTCGAGGAAATTCTTCAACCAGCTGATAAAATTTTAACAAAAAATAAGCATGTGTCCGCGACATTCACCCCCCTTCTTTGTCTCACGCGTGAGACTTTTATATTTAAAAAAAAAGAGTAAGAATAAATATTCTTCATCAATGTTCACGGTCTATTTTTCCAATAAACGACTTTGTCCTCACAAACAGACCCTATAGTTTTCAGGTTTCTGTGAAATGAAAATTTGTGTTAATTCACAATTCATAAGTCAAGGAAATTCTTCGACCAGTCCATAAAATTTTAACAAAAAAAAAGCATGTGTCCGCGACATGACGATGCTATCGCGTAAAATCAACTTGTACGCCTCTGGTGTAGTTTTTTCTTTCAAAACTGCCAATATTTCTCCTTGAAGGGCTGAACAATATAAAATGTCTCTATGCACATTCCCAATGGTTTTTGAGAGAATATTTACAGAAAAAGTTGTAGTCCTCTGGTGTACCTAGTTTTATGTCAGCATCTACACGATCATAAACCTTTTTTCTAAGCACATAAACTATATGTTTGTAAGATGCATCTTACAAACACATAAATTACTGATGACACATGGGGCGATCCCAAAAATTCTAAAGACATAAAAATGTCTATAGAATTTTTGTCTAGATATAAACAATGAAAACCCTTTTGGCCTTTTGTCAAATTCAAATCTTATTACGTTGTGGTTACGAGTGATCTGAGCTTTTTTCGATAATATTCTCTTACCTGTTCTCTCATAGCCTCAACATCAACCTCTGATGAGCTTTTTGCTTTATTTATCAACTGTCTTTTCGGCGATTTATAATGCTCAATCTCGTGCAAAATCGAGTTGAACTCTATATCAGAGATATAATTATTTTCAATTACCTTTGAAAACAACCCGCTAACTGACAGGTGTTTTGTCTCTGCTATTGAAATAGTTTTTTTCATGTTTTGTAATTTTCTTATTGAGAGTCTTGCTCCCAACACTAAATGCTGTTGACATAAATCCTAAAAAGCAGGCTAAAACAGCCATTGGTGCTCCCGCAATAAATCCTAATTTCACTCAGAGAAACCGCCATACCGCTTGTTAACAATGCAACCGCTATTACTCCTGTCACAGTGCATGTTGTGTGACAAGCGGATCTAATTTTCTTTAATTTGGCAAGGACACGTCGATAATGAGTAACGTCATTCTCAAGCTCCTTCTTGCAATCAAAAATCATATCCAACCTGAATTTGTTTGGTGTTATAATTGGATATATCGGCGGTGCGCTTGGCAGAAGGCTTTAGGGTCCCTGGCTCAGAGAGCTTCGCAAAATATTTTGATAAACCATCTTTAAATCATTAAATAATCTCTAATTCAAGCGTCACGAGGGACGAAAATTCGTATGGAAGTGATATCATTCCTTGGTGTTATTTTTCGCAACTCTGCGATAATTGTCAAAACAATCATTTTCATTATAAAAACAATAATAACAGGTTTGCGTGGCTAAGATCAAATGAAGCGAATAAGGAAGTCTAACCCTAAAAAGTACCAATTCAAAAACAAAAAACTGAAAAATCCCAAAAATAAAAACTCCTTTATCGATGTGCTTGAGTTAGATCATTAAAATCGTCCTAGTAATGCTCATTTCAGATATTTTATTTTTAACTGCATCGCTGCCGCTAAAACAACGATTAGTGACCGAAAAAAGCACATATTCTAATATTCTCAATTCAACATAAGAAAAAAAAAATCTTTATACATGGTAAATATTCATTTGTGTTGGTATCAATTATTGCGTGACTAGCTCATGATATAAATAGCGGAGGGGAAAACACAACGCAAAACCTGGGCTCCTGTCAAAACGTAATACCCAGGCGTAATATAGTAATCGAAACGGCTAATAAAATCACAAATAAACAAGGTAAGAGTGTTATGTTAGATTTTTTAAACAAATTGTCATGATTTATGCCAGTTAACGGTGGCGACAAGTAGGCGCACCATGTATATTCCATAGTCGCTATCAAGTAAATTTTGCCGGACTTTGACTTCGTCTCAAGATAAAACAACACAAATACACAAGGAAATTTTTACAGCAACTTTATAACCATCCTTTTGTCTTTTAAAAACTTGAAGCTCAGTAGATTCTGTCATATCGGTCATTGTTAAAACTGTCTTTGTTTTGACGCTACGAAATAGGAAAAGTATGTCGAACAAAAATATTCACCAAAAAATAAATATTTCTTTGCCAGCTTCAATAATAACAGGAGATTAAGTTAAGATGATAAAACAAAGGCATGTGCTAACAGAAATGCCGGAGGTCAAGTGGAATCGTTACACGAGGTCACACAACTCGGGTGATATTCACGGTGAAAATTTGCATATTTGAGCGGTCGAACGAAAAAAAGTCATTTCTCGAAAGCTAAAATATGTTTTCAAAATAAACTACATCATCATTATCATAACATATTGGGCTACAAAATGTAAAAGAAGGGGTGAATTTCAATTTGTCTTTTTGTCGACGAGGTTAGAATTCTATATAATGGTACTATGTTTTGATTTGACATTTGTTAGTTAAATAGGCAAATACCAAAGCATCTTTAACACCAAAAATGCTGAAAAGTTGTGTTTGTCTGATTCTATCTTCTTTTTTCTTTCCCTTCAAATTACGCCTGATCAATACAAGTCTGACGACTCCGAGAAAATATATCTAAGTCCATGGAAAGCACAGTGCTCGTAGGATTGTCTCCTTCACTGCTTGTCTTGCTTCTCTGACTTTCCAGCAGAAAAGAAACGGGTTCAAAGTGGAATTAAAATACGTTAAAATAGTTGTAATTCCATCAATAAAGACTACATGTGAAGAATAAGTTTTTCTGTAAGTGATCACAAGCAGCATTATGAATTTTGGTACATAACAAACAACTAATGCTAACTGTACCCACAGTGCACTGCTTACTGCCTTCCTGTATCATGCCTTGTTCAGAGCAGTTGTTTGGCTCGGCTGTTGTTGAACTTGATCTTGTACTTGGGCCTGATAATGTCTAGGAGTGCAAAATATCTTTTTGTACGAGGCGATTGAGGTCACTAAGCATGACGGTATAACTATAGTAGTATACCAAATGGTTATTCGAGTATGTGAAATGTAAAATGATCCAGCAGCGACGGAAAAAAATCCAAAACGTAGCTGTAATGATGTATGTGCGCTTTAAAGTTACTATTTGCCTGTATCTTATTCCCAACCACAGAGCGAGAAGTCGGTCCACGCTTATGGCAGTCAACGTCAGCAAAGACACTCCACATAATGCATAGCTTGATATGTAGATTGCGTCCATTGCGTGTCGACAAAGACTCCGGTGTTCGTGAACCACGGACATCCAATAGGTAGAAGCGAGAGGCTGGCTAACAAGACCAACCAACACATCAGTTGTTGCCAGACAACAATACAAGAGTTTGGATGGTGGATGAAGGGAAGATTCCTTGTTGAGGGCAACAAGTATTAGAAAATTCCCAAGAAATGTTGTGATGGAGCGGAAAATGTTGACTACTGAGAAATAAACCGATCGTTGTTGTAACCCAAATAACAAGGAGGAGGAGCATCGCGATACTTAATATATGTTTCCGTCTGTGTTCCACCCTCTGTTGAGTTTGTCGTCGCAATCATTGTGCAGCTCTTAAAACGGTCATCCTTCTTTCGCTACAGTATTTTGGAACTGCTGGCAACACGGGATAATCTTCTCCACAACAACCACCTGGCCAAGAAACAGTTAAATTTTATATTTCTTTGTGTCATAATCACTAAAAGCTTCTTTACTGCATCCAACCCGTTTTCGATTGATTGAATGATCTGTCTGTCAAGACAATTACCGCGATATTTATACATATACACCTTTCTTGAAATTTTGGAGGGTATGCCTTGCCTTAATCAGTCCCATGAAAGGTGTCCCTCTGGTTGATAAATTTCATTCAAGAACGCACTTTAAATAAGAGCTGATAAAAATTTCAGCGATGAAGACATCTGTTCGTTTGTTATTTTTTGATAAACCTTTCAGTGGATAAAAAAATAGGAATTGGCCAGTAAAGGTAAACCTAAATTGATTTTTAAGGATATTTGTCGATCCGCAAAAAGACATTCCCGCTGAAAAATCGCGTTCAATAAAACATTGCAAAAGTCTTATCTTCAGCCAAATGAGAAACTACCAATTAAAGCGAATCAGTTGCAAGTATCCACAGCGCATTTGATTTCGGACTTACTCGAAACATCTATCGACGAATCAACTACCAGCCGTGTACCTCCTCTTTGTGAGACTTTAGGGAAGTTGGAACATTAATAATCCTCAACTGTCTTTTCACATCGAGAGTAATAGTCATAAATTTTATGCTGAAAGATTATGCTGAAAACTACGACTGCGTGGACCCATGCCAGAGAAAAAACGCAGCCGTGATGGTAAAGACCATGCATCAAAATGGTCTCCATGACATTTTACCCGTTCTATATACAGTTGCCTCCATCCTGGCCACAATTCCTGCAACCTCGTGCTCTGCTGAACGGTCTTTCAGCGCCCTTTGCCGCATCAAGACATTTTTACGATCCACAATGGGACAAGACTAACTTAGCAGTTTCGCCGCTATTAACATTGAAAGAAAGTATGCGAACAAGACAATGCAGAATGACATGCAAAGGATTATTGACATATTTGGGTCTCGAAGTAATCGTTCTTCATACTTCTTTTAGAGCTCAAATGGGTACGCTTTATCTCTCACTTCTTGATTTTGTATTTTAGAAATGTTGATCTCGCTTTACCGAAAATATTTGCACTATTTTGAACGCCCGTGCTCTCAAGGTATGGCGAAGAAAACTTGACGTCATGAAAGGATCATCTTTTGCATCTGTGATCAACAAGTTTTATTCGGGCAAATTATGTTCAGCCCCCCCAACAAAATTTTTCCCGTACGCCGATGTCGACTGTTGTAAGTCTTCTGATATCCAGTCGTTTTGTTTGATGAGGTGATACTGTATTGTGACATTCAGTAAGTATGGAGACGGCGCGGCTCCGAAAAGTACGCGAGAGAATCTGTAGATGACCAAATTGTTTGGATTATTCGCTGATTTGGCGACATCTTTGAGCCAAAGAATCTCGTAGCATCCCTGTCTTGAGTGTTTAGCTCTATTTGTAAGAACGCCTTTTCGATATCTGCTGTGAAGGTTATCTTGTGTGATCTGAAGGTGAGTAACATATTTTGTAGTATTTGTATGAGGTTAGGCCCCGTATTAAGGCAATCGTTGGGGCTTAATGCCTTCGAGGTTATCTTTGCTGAAGCGTCGTAAACGATTCTCACGGCTGTTGTGCTGCTTTCCTTGAAGACTGGAAAATAGGGTATGCAGTGCATGACTCCTTGATGTGTGTTCGGATCGAGGAGTTTTTCTATAAATCCTCTCTTGAGTTGATCGAGCTGAAGGTCCTTCGTTCATTCCCGGGTCTCGACACCAGTTTCGGAGATATCAATCAGACTGAACTGTGTATGATCTTGTATTTATTCCATTCAGCCAAAGCTAACAGTATCTGATTAGTGAAGTACATAATGATGACTAATTATACGTACATAATTTACAGTTAATGTACTGATTTCATTACACTATTTGTCTTTTTGCCGACGGGGTTAGAATGCTAAACAATGATACTGTGTTTTTGGTGATATTTATTAGCATAAATAGGCAAAAGTGTACATTTTTAGATTTCACGCATCTGGAATCGGCGAGACATTTGTTCCCGAGAAGCATAAATGATCTCCAACTGAATAACTAAAACTCCAACCGGAACCTTTACATATTACAAGCAAATATCTCCGAGATAAAAGTCACAATCGTTATAATAACCTAACTAGGTGGACCTAGATTCATAGAAATTTCAAACAATGTCTCATTGATGTCTCGTTATTAAAAAACGTCTGCAAGTTAATTTCTCTTCCTTTCGCGTCAAACAAGAACGTAAAGGAACTACACAAGAAATGAAATTAAATAGTAACTAAACCAACAAACCGTTCATCCATTTTTCATGTTCATCAACTTTCCTAACTTCTACAATATCTCCCATTTGCCATTTTCCCTTTCCCTTTCCAGGCTGAGACATATTCCCATCTAAAACAGTTAATTTCGTTCAATTCTTATAGATTGTGCGTTTAAAATCAGGAGCAGTTTAGTCCACAATAGCGCGTAGTTATTATATGGCTTACCAAATCAATTTTATAAACATGGAAAGAGCAGAAGACAGCCTTAGGATTTGACAAGAAATTGAGGAGCGAGTTCGCAGAGGCCTTGCCATACAGTATATCGGAAGAAAGTCAAACAGATAGCACCTCTCGGCATTTGGGTGATATTAATTTTGCCTTTCACCTTATCTTTTTGTCGACGGGGTAAGAATTCTATTTAACGGTACTTTGTTTTTATTTGATATTTATTAGCTTAAACAGGCAAACACCAAAGCATCTTTAACACCAAAGATGCTGAAAAGTTGCGTTTTTCTGATTCCATCTTCTTTTTTCCCTTCAAATTACGCTTGATCAACTCCGAGAGAAGTCCATGGAAAGCAAAGTGCCTGTCGCATTGTCTGCTTTACTGCTTGTCTTACTTCTTTGATTTTCCAGCAGTAAAGAAGTGGGTTCAAAGTGGAGTTAAAATATGTTAAAATAGTTGTTATTGCATCAATAACGAATACATGTAAAGGATAAGTTTTTCTATAGGTGATCACAGCCATTACTGTAAATCTTGGTACATAACAAACAACTAATGCTAACTGCACCCACAGTGCACTGCTTACTGCCTTTCTGTATCTTACCATGTTCAGTGCATTTTGTTGGCTCGGCTGTTGTTGAACATGATCTTCTACTTGAGCCTGATTATGTCTGAGAGTGCCAAATATCTTTGTATACGACGCGATTGAGATCACTGAGCATGACGGTATAACTATAATACTACACCAAAGGATAATTCGAGTATGTGAGACGGAAAATGATCCAGCGGCGACGCATAAAACCCAAAACGTAGCTGTTATGATACGTGTGCGCTTTAAAGTTACTATTTGTCTATATCTTATTACCAACATCAGAGCGAGAAGTCTGTCCACACTTATGGCTGTCAAAGTCAACAAAGACACCCCACATAATGCAATACTTGATATGAAGACTGTGCCCCTTGCGTATCGACAAAGACTCCAGTGTTCGTTAACCAAGGACATCCAATAAGTAGCATGGAGAGGCTGGGAAACAAGACCAACCAACAGATCAGTTGTTGCCAGACAACGATACAAGAGTTTGGACGGTGGATGAAGGGAAGATTCCTTGTTAAGGGCAGCAAGGATTAGAAAATTCCTGAGAAATGCTGTGACGGAGAGGAAAATGTGAACTGCTGAGAAATAAATCGATTGTTGTTGTAACCCAACTACCGAGGAGGGAGAACATGGAAATACTTGATTTGCTTCAGTCTGTGTTCCACCCTCTGTTGAGTTTTCCGTCGAAATCATGGTGCAGCTCTTAAAACGGTTTTCCTCCTTTCGCTACGGATTTTCGGAACTACCGGCAACACGAGATAATAATTCTTCACAACAACCACCTGGCCAAGAAATAGTTAAATGTTATAATTCTTCATATCATCAACACTAAAAACGCCCGCAGTGCATCCTACTCGTTTTAAATCAGTTGAACGAGCTTTCCGTCGAGGCAATTACATATTTATAGACATGCACCCGTCTTGAAATTTTGAGGGTATGATTTTCATCAATAAACCCCATAGAAGGTGTGCTTCTGGCTGATAAATGTCATTTAAGAGCGTACTTTAAATAAGAGCTGATAAAAATTTTAAGGATGAAGACATCTGTTAGTTTATGATTTTTTTAAAAACTTCTCTATAGATACAAAGTAGGAAAAGACTATTACATCTGTTAGTTTAATTGTTTGTTTCTTTGTTGTTATTGCTGTTGTTGTTGTTTTTTTTTTTTGATAAAACTAAAAAAAAAAATGGGAATTGGCCCGGCACTGTTTACCTAAATTGATTTTGAGGATATTTGTCGATCCGCAAAATTACTTTCCCGTTGAAAAAATGTGTTTAATAAAATAATGCGAAAGTTTGTTATGTTTAGCCAAATGAGAAACTACAAAAATGAATCAATTGCAAGTATCCAGAGCATATTCTTTGTTTTCGGACTTACCCGAAACATCTATCGACTAATCGCCTACCAGTACGTTGTTTACCTCCTCTTTGTAAAACTATAAAGAAGATGGAAGAAGGAAGTGATAAAAATTCAAATTATCCATTTCCTTCCTTCCTTCCTTTCTGTCCTTTCAGTAGAACATCCGCCCTCAGGCTGATGTTTCACTGATGAAACTGTCAGTCATTTAGAGATGGACTGACTTTTTTTGTTGTCAAATTGTCTCCATCCGCATAAAATAACTCCCGCAAAATGTTCATGCCACACGAAAAACAGCCTTGAAATTAATTCAAAACAGTTATAATTCCGAGCACATTTAGTTGACAACTGAAAATTAGTCCATAGACGTAGATGTCAAGAAATTTCTTAAAGGCCCATTTTCACCCTTGATGCAACGCGCGCCTCAACCCAATTTCCTGTAACACGAAATTCCCAGATTACTGAAAACCTTCTAAAGTCGTCTTTCGAAAGAACCATCCTGGACATATCGCCAACTTTTTTACAGGAAATGCATTCGCCGTTCGTCATTTTACAGTTTCCTAATAGTGTTTTGAATTTGGTCCGGAAGAATCCGAAGAAATTTTTTTTTTTTTTAGGTGTCACGATTGGATCTCTTCGCACTCTTTGAACAGAGTTGGCGAAAAAAACAACGTCCAAATATTTTCACTTTCTAGAAGTGCTTGAGGATTCTAAATAAAGATAAAATATTTCCCAATAGAAGTTGGTATTTTTCAAAGAGAAACATGGAAAAATGTCAGACTGCCGGACGTTTAGTTATTCGAAGATCGTGTCCGGTAGTATCCGATCAAAATTTTCTACGTGTTACGCTTGGATCTCTTCGCACTCTGTGTACAGGGTCGGCGAAACGGACAACGTTCGAATTTTTTCACTTTCTAGAAGCGCTTTAGGATTTTAGATGAAGGTAGAATATTTTCCAAGGAAAAATTGGTATATTTCAAAGAGAATATCGGAGTTATTTGAAGACCGTGTCCAGCCGTGTCATTGAAAAGTTTCAGTTTTAAGCGCATGGATGGGTTCGTACTCTGTATGCAGGGTTAGCGAGAAACATCAAGTTCGAAATTTTAGGCTGCCTGGAAGCGCTTGAGGATTGTAAATAAAGGTAGAATATTTTCGTATAAATATTTTTTTGGATTTCGAAGAGAAATGTAGAAAAATTTCGGACTGCTGGGTGTTTAATTATTTTAAGACCCTGTCCGGCTGCCGGACGTTTAGTCACTTTATTGCAGGAACGTTAGCGACACTGACAGTTTGCATTACAATTCTTATTTGCTGCTTTGCAAAGATAACAACCTCGATCTTTCGAGGGCAAGCTTCTCTCCACGGACAGGAAACTTCAACTGACCCTTATTCCTATTTAACAAAGATGGCACACTTTAATTAAAAAAAAAAAAAAAATGATTTTTTCACACTCCTCGGAATGCTCGCAAGGATTTTCGTGTTCCTCTTTAGCAACAACCGATCCCTAAGTGTTTACATCAAGGTTGGAAATGGGCCTTTAAAATGAAATTTCGTTTCGTTATTTGAAAACATCCCTTAATCATTTTCTCTTCTTCTGGCTTCTGATCAGAATTTATAAAAGGAACCATGACAGGTGCAAAATATTACTTAACTGAACTATCACACCCTGAGAAAGCCATTTCAATATTTACCCATTATTCCATCCTCCTTAATTCCTCTCAGTCTTATTCGAAGGGCAGCTGGTTGGGATCTTAAATTCTCTGCTTACATTGCTTTCGTTTTTCAAATTTAAAGTTTCTCTGGTGAACGCTGAGAAGCCAAAATTGATCTACATATTTTTACGAATTGCCAAAATGGATCAAAAAGTTTGATTCATATATTGAAGTAAAAAACTGGATAGCGGACGTGCCTATGAAAATGTCAAAATATTGGAATATTAAAGATGGGAAATTAGAAACACTGTATTTTTATCAAACGTAGAACATGAGGAGTCTTTTCTTAAGAAGCATTGTGCTTCTCCTCTTACAAAATCTTTTGCTTTTTCCTGACACGGATGAAAATTCAAGTATTCGAAGGTCTCTGTGTCTTTGTAATTCGTTTGGGTGTCAGGGGTCGATTTCCTATTAAAACTGTCGCTTTTGTACATTTTTGTGTCCAAGCATATAAATTCTGAGTCTGGTATTCCAGCCACGAATAGTGATTAATGCGCGGTGTACCAGAGTTCCAATTCAATTTTCTGAGGATTTAAAAAATTAAAAATGAAAATTTTAGTTCATTTTCATTATCTCGTTTTTGCTGAAAATTGAAAACGACTGTAACAACCCATTTTTCAAAATTCAATTTTTTTTTTCATAAAAATGTAAATTTTTCGATTTATTTTTGAAATAATGAAAATGAAAATTTAACGAGTTAATTTTTCGATTTTCCAACAAATCTAGGTTACGGGTAAAATGCAATTTTCCAAAAAATTGAAAACAGAATTTTTCTAATTCATTTTTCAATTTTCCGAAAAAAAAAATAGGAAAATTGAAATGCTTTTACGAACTCAATTTTCATTGATCGGTGACCTGGGGATAAAAATACGCCGATCACGTATTGGTTGTATCCGCTGCAAACATGGCTGATCGAGATCCTACCGAGCATATGGTCTTTATCTCAAGAGGAGAGGGAGAAGGAAGAATCGAAAGAAAAATTAGAATATCTCAGGTAAATACAGAACGACTTGCAGTTATGTTTTCGGTGAGTTCAGAGATCATAGGTTTGCGCTCTTTTCTCGCGTTTGATCAAGCACATGCAATTCTTGTTTGTTTTCCTCGAACGCTGTTTCGATGCCTGTCTTCATATAAATACAATTTATGTTGCAGCTTGAAAAGCACTATTCCTTTGGTGGAGGAATTGAAAATATTGGCAAAAGCTACTTTGCTGTTAAAAACGTATCGAGCTCCTGGATGATAATAATAAAAACGAAGCGTAAAGCACATTGATTAAGCGTGGCCTTTAAACCCGTGCTAGCTATAAAATTGAATCTAAGTCTGCTCTGGAGAGGAATGTCCACTCCAGAAGAGCCTAATTACCCCGATTTCCATACCATGAATTAACTTAAAAACCAAGTAATCCTAATGATATAGATTATTCATATCTTTTATGATAGCCAGCATGTCCTTTCCTCTTGCACTTATGGCGCTAGTTTTATTTAAACAATGAACTCGCACGCATGCGTGTCTCCAGGGGAAAAGATACACCTCCATGGACAGCAAAGTGCTCGTCTGATCGTCTCTTTCACTGCTTTTCTCACTTCACTAATCTTCCAGCAATAACGTAACGGGTTTAAGGTGGACTTTAAACACACTAATTAAAAGAGTCGTCATTCCAGAAGTGACGAGTAAATGTTATAAATAAGTCCTCCAGATGATCACAAGTGCTGGCAATGTTAAACTTGGTGCATAGCAAACAACCGATGCTAACTGCACCCACAGTGCACTGCTCACTGCCATCCTGTATCTTGCCATGTTCAGTGCAGTTGTTTGGCTCGGCTGTTGTTGAACATGATCATGTACGTGAACCTGATTACGCCTGAGAGTGCGCAAAATCTTTATGTACGAGGAAAATACTAGTATAATTGTTTTATTGTACAAAAGAGGTATTCAAGAATTATGGTCAACCATGGTCAACATAGAAACTCCACATAATGTAAAGCGTGTTATAAAGATTGCATCAGTTACGAATCGACAAAGGTTCCACTTCTCGTGAACCAAGGACAACCAATAGGCAACATAGACTGGCTGGCTAACAAGACCAACCAACACATCTGGATGTTGCTAGACAACAATACAAGAGTTTGGAGGATGAATGAAGGGAAGATTCCTTGTTTAGGGCAACGAGGATCAGGAAATTCCCAAGAAATGCTATAATGGAGAGTATTATGTTGGCTGCTGAGAAAAAAGTTGCGATTTGTCCTACTTTTCCCACATAAGTGGATGAGCGCATTATTTCCTGATAAGTTATCGTTCGTGTTTCTTGTGCTGTTGAATTTGTTTCCGCAATCATTCTGCAGCTAATGAAACGGTGTCCTTCCCTTCTTGCTATGGTTCTTCTGAAATTGCCGGTAACTGATATATTTAGAATGACAGCAACCACCCAACTATGAAACAGTTAAAACTCTTTCCGTCAGTGATAATATCGACATAAGGATTTTCTCAATGCATTCTACACGTTTCAAAGAGATTGAACGATTTGTCTTTCGAGACTGTTAAATAACATTAAGTCATTAACAATTTTTTCTTGGGAGTGTTTTTTGTCAATCAAACCATACCTTTAGTGTGCAGCACAAAGGTGTC